CTGGCAGTCGCCCTGAAGCACATTCCGGTATGCCGTTTTCGCTCTGAATTAAAACCGCAGCCAACGTTAAATTTAATAATAGAGTTATAAACTCCTGAACATGCACGGATGGCTGACCGACCCCAGAGAGAAGAAGGAGGCTCTATAAATAGAGGTCCTTGTAAGCAAATATCGGGATTTAGTCCAAAGCCTGTTGAATTACCTTTTGTGCAAACTCCATGTCTCTGTGTCAGTCACGGGTGGGGCTCGGGGGCGAGGGACGCCAGGAGGACCCCCGTGAGCCCCACCCTGCAGGACCCACCAGGCTGCTCCTGCTACAGGGGGTCCCCGCCCCAGAACACAGACTCCCGCGGAAGCCCAGCGCCCGCCCCGATGTCTGCTTGGTGATGAAAGGCAAGGTGGGGACCGAGGAAACGGGGGACGGACGACAGACGAGAGCCAGCTGGTCAGGAAAGTGCCGTCCTGCCTCCAGGCTCCAGACAGGCCGCCCCGGGACGGAGCCCGGGTGGGCCCGGCCTGACCAGAGCCAGCTGGACGGGCCACCCCCAACGTCCCGCGAGACCGACCCCTTCCAGCCGCCCGCAAACGGGAATGACAAAAAATGCCCGGAGTTTCTCGGGGAGCAGAAAGTCTCCCCCAGCTCGGTGGCCTGATGGATCTCAGACATGCCAGGCCTCTCCCCGCCATGTGGGGCCCGCAGGACACTCGCCAGCGGGTAGCTCACCCTCACTGGTCATTCCCTGGTCACACGATGTCACGGAACAGAAATCTAAGCATTCAAGGATCCCTCCCTGCCCCTCCCCACCCTGAGTCACTCACTCACCCCACCCTCAGGGACCCCCCCGGTCTGGTAAATGCTGCCCCTGGGGCCCGGGAACCCGCGAAGCCCCACCCTGGTACTTTTGCAAATACAATGTCCGCACGTCCCCCTCCCTCCCCTTCCCTCACCCCATCTCTGAATTTTGCCCATGAAGATAGAGAGCCCCCTTTCAGCCTGGGGTAGAAATTTCCCCCTGGACAGAGATTTTAACAAAGACGATAGGAGTACAACCTGGCTGCTCCCAAGCGCACATGCCGCCTCCTCCAAGAAGCCTCCCTGGTCTGCCGCCCCCACCCCTGCGCACCCCACCTACGCGGAGCCACTCTGAGGTGGGGTCTACGCTGTCTTCATTTCCGTCGCCCGGCAGGGCAACGCCGTCACCACGAAGGCCCAGCCCCCAATCCCTGGCACAGAAAGTACACCTGGGGGAAGCGGGTCATTTCCATACAAAGGGATTTGATGCGTCTTTAAAATAAAGTAACTCAGGCTGAAATGTGATTATGCTTTTGCAACAAAACGAAGGCTTGGTGCCAGCCCCTGGCACGGGCTTCGCGGAGCCCCACGGCCCCCTGGCACAGCCCAGCGCCCCCGCTGGCCGTCCGGCTCTGAGTGACCCACCGGCGGATGCCACTTGTGCTGTCGCTTTCTGTGGCTTTTGCGGGGTTCGCTCTGCCCATGGCCGTCCCCATGGACCCCGCTGCCCCCAGAGCCACCCTCCAGCGCAGAGAAGGCCCGGCCTGGGCAGAGGCCACCACCCACCCACAGCAGCCCCTGCCCGGCAGGCCTTCGGGCCAGGGATTGGCTGGTCAGAGACAGGCAGGAGCTCGGCACAGCCCCGTGGAGCAGCGTTCAAGGGTCGCCCAGGTCCCCCGCCCCCTGTCCCCCAGGGACGGCAGCCTAGGAGGGGCGTGAAGGGGCGCGCCCTCGGAGGGGGGCGGCCGAGCAGGGGTTCAGAGAGGAGGGGCCAGGCCAGTCTTGGGGTGGCCAGGGGCCCCCGGAGAAGCCAAGGGTCCGCGTCTGGTGCCTGGGAGGGGACAGGAATCCTTCCAAAGCCAGTGACACCCCCGCCGACCCAGCAGCCCTCCCTCAGCCCCACTGCGCCCCCTCCGCCCTGCCCAGGGATGTGGCGCAGTAGGGAAAGCAGGAAGCACAGGCCGACAGCGCCAGCTGCCGGGGTGCCCCGAAGAGAAACAGGGCCTGGGGTGGCCTCGCCCAGGCCCCAGAATGAAGCCACGCCCAGCTGCACGGGGTTGGGGGCACGGAGGTGCGGGGGGGGGGGTCCCTGACTCACAGGCAGGGAGGGGCCAGGAGGCGGCCGTGTGGGGTGAACTTCACTCCCCACCTGCCCGCCCGCCGCTTGCCTCTGGGGGAGAGCCTCCGCAGCCATGCCCGCCACTGCCCCCCCTCTGCTGGGCGCCCGGTCCTTCTCCCCAGACAACCCCTGAGATGTGCAGAGAGGAAAGAGAGGGACCTCGTTCTGTGGCCGCAGCCCCATCCAGCCTCACGCAGGAGCCCGGCGGCGGCCCAACCAGCGCTTCTCCGGGAAAAGCACATCCAGGACGCAAGGCTCTGCCCCGTCCCAGAGGCGCCGCAGTGCTGCCCCGGCCTTGGGGGGTCCGGAAGGCTTCCTGGAGGAAGAGGCATTGAAGGACAGGCTGGAGAAGAGCCGCCGGTCTCCAGGGGTCAGGAGGATTAGGGAGGAGGGTGAGGACCTCGGCCAGGCCCACTCCCGCCTCGGAGCAGGTGGGGGCCACAGCCCCGGTTCCGTCAGCCCCACACCGCGGGGGGAAGGGGCCGAGCCCAGCTCGGGGCAGCAGCAGACACACAAAGAGCGCCTGTTGTGAGAAGGGGAGCGGAGCCCCTCCTGGGTGAGAGCCTGGAAGTTCTGCCCTTGGAGGCGGGGCTCGGGCCACCTGCTGGCCTTGCTCCTGGTGACCCGGGGCTCTGCTGGCTCCTGAGGGCACAGGCCTCTCCGCACCCCACAGCCCCTTGCCCCTGGTCCTCGGTCCCTGTTCTCAGCGGCCAGGGGAGGCCCCGGGCTCGATGGGAGGCAGGGCTCCCGTCCCCGACGTTTCCTGGCCCAGCAGAGGGGCGCTTTGGGAGGACCAGCACCTCTGCTCTGCTCCGCGGGGGCGGGGTTTGCACACTCCCGCCCGGTGGGAGCTTCCTCCTGCACCTGTCTCAGCAGGACACAGGCAAGGCACCCGCTGGGAGCCCCAGCAGCTTCGGGCTGGGGCAGGCAGATCTGGGGCTCGCGAGGACATGGAGCCCCGGCCGGCACTCTCCCTGGGTCCCAGCCACTGAGGCCCTGCCGGGTGCCAGGCCTCCTTCCGCGTGCTGGGGACAAGTAAGAGGTCTCCGGAGCCAGGAGGGGCCTGGGGGGCCTGGGAGCCCTCCTACCCCCAGCTCAGGCCTCGTGGACCCAGCTGGACCCCCCGACCTCGGCTCCTCCAGTGCCTGTCCTGGCTCGCCTCCCCCCGCAGCCCTGCACCCTCCAGCGCCCCTGGTGCCCAGGCTGAGAGCCAAGCTCCTCCGCCTCTGGGAGCCCTTCTCACAGGGCTCGCGGACCCCACGCCCTCCCACCCTCGGGCACCCGCGGCTTAGACGCAGGTCCCTGCCCCCACACTCCCCGACAACCCCTTTCTTGACCCAGGGCCTTTGCACACGCTGACCCCAGCCTGGGACGCCATCCCTCCCTCGGCTGCGGGGAGGAGCGCGTAGCAGCCCCTGGCCCAGCCGCCAGCCCCACCTGCTCGGCGCCCCCCCACCGGGTCACGCTCCCGGACGGAGGGCAGGAGACCCAGGGCGGCGGCAGCGCCCACAGCCACACAGGGACCACTGCGCCGGTGCCACCCGCTCCCCGGAGCAGAGCCGCACCCCCACCCCCGGGCTGGGCACCGCCCGCCCCCGCTCCTCTGGGGCCGGGAGGGCCAGAGGGCGGGGGTCTGGGGTCAGGGCTTTGTTGATGAGTCGCCCTGCAAACTCGGCAAGCTCTGTCAAAATATTTTTAGCATTTGTTCTGTTTTTAAAACCCTGAGGTATTAGAGTGCACTAATCTTTAAAAAGGTTAATTTATTCATAGAGATTTTGACAGAGATGTATGGCGCTGTGCAGCCATGCCCCTTCCCGGGGGGAGTGAGCTCACACGGCGCAGGGGCGCTCACACAGGCCGGACGGCGGCCACTGGGGACCGGGCCCCTGATGCCATCCCCGCCGGCCTGGCCCCCGGCACTGGCCAGGCCACCCCCCCAATTTGCTCGCTGAGCTGTGCCTGGCCGGCAGGGCGGGGCCCCGCACGGCCATCCTTGTAAGAGGCGGGGCCCGGCCGAACCCCCGGCCAGGGGTCTGCTCACACCACGGTGGCCGTGTGGCCGCAGGAAGAGCCACTGAGAAGCCCTCTTCTCCAAAGCAGCCCCCACCGGCCCCTGGGGCCCTGAGTTGGGGGCCCGCAGCCTGTCCCCCGGGGCCTCGCTGGGTGTGTGAAGCACGTGGGCGGGAGGGAAGACGGCCTTCGTCCTGGGCCAGACCTCCGGGGCCCAGGACTCCCAGGGGCCTAGAGAGGCCACGGGGTCCCCAGGGTGGACTGGGCCCTGTCATCCAGCGGTGACCCACCCAGGCAGAGCCCTCACTGCACCAGGACCACAGCTTCAGGGACCCAGGGGAGCAGGCGGCACTGGGGGGGTTGTGTGTATGACACTTTGGGGAAAAGGAGGCTCTGTCCCTCCAGCACCAAGATCGGTCTCACCCCAGGGCCCTGACTCCAGCTCTTCTACCAGCCCCCGCCCAGGCCTTCCTGTGGCGGCATAAACACCACCTCCTCCAGGAAGCCCTTCCTGACTGCCCATGGACACCCCGAAACCCAGGCCCCAGCATGTCACTGCTGTGCCCTTCAGCCACCCCCGCCCCCGAAAGGCGCGTGTCCACTTCTCAGCTGCGTGTTTGCCGTCGCTCCCCGGCCGGAGGGGCAGCACCCGGCGTGGAGGGTGCCACCAGCCTCACCAGCCCACTTGTGCTCCCCGTGAGCCATACATCCATGTCCGCATCGCTGCCTGCCCTCCAGGGGGCCCCCCGGGGGCCACCTGGGCCCCAGGCCCTGATCCACTGAGCTCAGTAATCGCGCTCCCGGATGGACCCGGGCCTCCGTTTTTTGTTTCTTCTCTGCTGGGAGTGACGCGGCAAGATGCGCCTCGGGCCGGAGCCCATCCAGGCGGCTCCTGAGTTGGCGCTACCAGGCCCACGGGCACGGCCGCCTCCGCCCGGGCAGTGTCAGTGCCCCCAGCAGCCCGGGCCCCGCTGTCGGGGAGACCTGTCCGGCCTGCCCGGCCGTGCCCTGAGCCTGGACACTGCGCCCCGTGAGCCGGCCGCCCGGACGTGCGAGCCGCTGGTCCCGGGCGGGAGCCCGGCTCCGATGCTGGCTTGTATGCGGTTCTGGGCGAGGGCCTTCCCTTTCTGCAAAACGGGCGAGCAGGCGTGTCCCAGCGAGCACACACAGAGCGTTTTGGCCTAGCGGGAAGCTCGGTAAATGACAGCGTCCCCCGTGGGGACCACGGTCAGCTCCCTGGCTGGGCCCAGGGGAGGCGGGACTGGCAAGCAGGTGGAACGTCGCTTCCCACTGCTCGGGGACACCGTGGCAGGACCCACACCCCACATCCCTGGCACACTGCACCCCCGCCGCTGCCACGGGGACCCTGGGCAGCCCCGCAGGGCCCCCCGACCCCGAGTTCCCAGTGCACAAGCCTCGGGGTGTCCTTGAGGAAGAAGGGCAGCACAGGGCGATATGGGGCACAGATGCTCTCTGGCCGTAAACAAGGCGGGAGCGGGCAGGGATTGGGTTACGCGGGTGGAATACCGGAACGTAAACACAGGACGGTTGGTGTGCCTCAGGTGAATTAGCCTGATTCAAGCTGTCAGCTTCAGGAAGTCTGAATAAACAGGGCTGGCCGCCTCTCCTGGCGTAGCAAGGGCGAGGATGCCGAGCGAGGCCCGCGGCCCAGCTGCCCCGACAACCTGCGGGCAGCCGCGGCCCTGGCCGAGGGCACGGCGGTCACGCGCAGCCCGCCAGCAGGGTGCACACTTCTGGGAGGCCGCTCAGGGTGCGGGGCCAGTGGCCCCAAGACTCAGCTTGGTGTCTCTCTGAGCCGCTGCCTTCCTCCGGAGGGCGGGGCCGCGGGGACCCTGGCCACCCCACCCCCAGGTGCCAGCCAGCCACCGGCAGAGAACGAGGCGTGGCTCTGCTGGCCTGGGGGCGTGTCGGACCAGCGCGTGTGCCCGCTGTCTCTCACCGTGGGCAGACGGGATCGGGCACACCGGGTGCGGCTGACCTCCAGGGACAGGTCTCAGGAAGGTGGCCCCACCCAGGGCCGGGGCTCCCTCAGCAGCAAGACGCGCGCCCCTCAGAGCACGCGGCGGGCGGGCGCGGAGGGGATGCACCAGCCCGGACTCACGGCGGACCCTCCCCGGGGCCCCCTGGTCATGGCGGCCACCAGATGGACGCAGCCCGGCCTCCGCCCTACAGAACCGCTCGCTCTCACGTGCGGCCAGACGGCAGGCCGGGCTCAGACCCGGGGCGGGAGAGGCTCCACGCCCCAGCCGCCCCAGCCGCCCCAGCCGCCCCAGCCGCCCCCTCGCACACTTGAGCGTCCGCCTTCGCACGGCAGCAACGCTCCAGGGAAGCTCCGGCAGATCGAAAGGGACCGGGGACCCGGGGGCCGGGCCCACCCTGAGTGGGGGGTCTCAGGACCACTTTGGGCAGCTTGCCCCCCCCTCCCTCGCCCCCCACCTTCCCCATGCTCACGCCTGCATCACGGCCTCCGTCGGGGGTGGGCACGCCTGGGTTGGCACCGCCCGCCGCCACGGCTCTGGGTCGTCACCTCTTTCTCACGGGTATCGCGTGAGTTGGGAGAAAACCCCCTGAAGTCCCATCCCATGGCCCCCAGAGAGGAGCTCCTGATGCTCCTGCACCCCTTCCTCCCCTCGGCCTGCCAGGGCCCCCACAGATAGAAGACACAAGGCCTCACCCTCTCAGAACCCAAATCCCCAAAACTGGGCGGGGCAGCCCCCCGTGGCCCTGCCCGTCCGGGTCGGGGGCCCCACCTGCAGGGGCGGCTGGTTCCGCCAGAGCCATGGCGGCGCAGGAGGAGCCCAGCCGGGGCGCTCAGGGCCTCTGTGACCGTCACGGCCAGCCCTCTGGGGCCTTCCCGGGGGGGGGCTGGGCGCACCCACAGACGGGGGAGGAAGTGGGGCCGGGATCCCCACCCCACACTGGGCCCTCCTCCCGTGGCCCTCAGAAGAGGACAGGCATGCGCTTGGGGGGCGAGGCCGGGTCCCGCCGCCGCCGCCCTGTGCGGGGGAGGCCCTGAGCCCCACGTGGGGAGCGGTTCCCGGGAAGTGGCCACAGGGGGGCACCGACACCTTCCACGCTCACTGGCTTTCCAAACAGGCCGGTGACCAGAGACGCTCAAGGCTCTGCCCTGCCCCGTCCCCAGAGCCGAGAAGCGAGTGACCCAGTCACCGAGCCCCCAGCCTGGGAACCGGCAGGTCTGTGCTGAGCCACCCGCGGGGCCTGAGCTGCAGCGGCTCAGAAGTCCGGTCTCAGACTCAGGGCCCACCCTGCCAGGCTGCCCCGGCCCCCAGACAGGAAGGCGGACCGTCCTCCCCTTTGGCTGGGGGTTCCCCGTGGCAGGGACCCGAGAGGCACGGCCTCGCCCACGTGCTGCCGCCTCGAGGGCCTCCTCGCCCTGGCCCCGCCGGCTGCGAGCTCCCCACGCCCACGCCCACGCCCACGCCCCCCTCAGGCCCGAGCCCCGCGTGCACATGGGCCTGGACAGGGCTGGGGGCAGGGGGGCGGGGGGGGCAGGGACGCACCAGGTCCTTGGGGCGGCGGGAGGAAGCGGTTTGATCTGTGGATGGGAGTTTGTTGATATCCATTTCCTTTCCTGGAGGAAATGCGTGCGTCTTAATTCGGGGAAGCAGCCGGAATCAGCAGCGGGGGCCCCAAGCCACCCCACCGCTCAGGGGTTCAAAGTCTGGTGGGTGGGGGCCCGGGGAGGCTCCTCCTCCAGCTCAGGGCTTTGCCGCCTGCGTGGAAGCCTCCGCTGGGCCGGGCCTGGCCCTGCCCGGGCTCTGCTCAGTGTAGTGCCTCGGGGCGCCGGGCCCAGGAGCCGGGCCCCTGTCCCCGCCCAGCTGCCCCTCATGGTTGGCAGTTTATTTTCAAACCCGTTCATAGCACGGGTCCTGGCGCCATGAGGACTCAGGTCCTGCAGTGCTCGAGTCCCGCCTGGGCCGGAGGGGACCACGTGCCCTGTGTCCCCGCCCCTGCCCACAGGCTGCAGAGAGCCAGGTCCCCGTCGGGGGCAGCCAACAGCATCCCTGCGGGACGCAGGATCTGGGGTCCGGGTACGGGCGTACGCAGGGCGGCCTGGCTGAGGGCCCCAGGTCCTCCTCGGACCAAGCCCCCGTGGGGGCAGCTGTCCCCAGGGTCCCCAGAGAGACATCTTCCTCCCTGTGCCCAGCACTGCGCCCCCAAGTACACACGCGGTTTCCTGCCCTCCCTGGAGCAGGCAGCTGGTGGCTCCGGTGGCCTGGGTTTGCCGTCACTTCCCCGCTTTTGCGGGTTTCTCAGTGGCACCTTGGGCCACAGGACAGAGGGGAGGGCAGAGCCACCCTGGGGAAGGTTGCGGCTGCCTGCCTGCAGAACGCCTGGGCTGTCCCGCGCTGCCCTGTGGCCGAGCTGGGTGACTCTCTTGCCAGACCCGAACGTGTCACCTGTACAAGCCACAGTCTTCATCAAAACCTCAGGGAGCCAGGGGCTGCGGAGAGACAGTGAGTAAACGGAGACCCTGAGGGCTGCGGTCCGCGCCCGGGGCCAGGGCGACAGGCACGCCGGGGCTAGAGCCCCAGGCATGTCCTCGGGGGGCTCCCAGGGGGCCGGTGTCACAGGCAGGAGGCCTGCCTGCTGACCCCTCCCCGGGAACCTCCCTTCCCAAGCACCCGCCCCCAGGAAGAAGGTCAAAGACAGGCCTCGCCCTGCAAGCCGACTACCCACAAAGTGCCTGGGCCCCGGCAAGACCAGAAACCGCCTTCCTACGCCCCCGACAGCCTCGGTCCTCCCAGGTCTGGGAGGGTTTTGTGTGTCCGTGTGGCCACATAGGAGGTCCCGGCTGCGCACCTCACCCTAAGACCCGGGGCGGCCGGAGGCGCCAGGCGCAGGGAGGCAGGGTGTGGGCCGGAGCCCCGGCCACAAGCCCCAGGGGCAGCCCCTGCGCCTGGTCAGCCCCAGGGCCTTCTCGCCTGACGGGCATCGGGAATGTGCCACCCCGAAGGCTAGCAAATCAGCCATCGCTGCGCTTGCAGGGCGGAACTTGAAGTTCTAGGGCTGATGTGCTGCTGTTTCGGCCCCGGATGAACAGAACCTTCAAAACCTCAGGTCCGTCCGGCCTCAAAGTTTACACTGAATTTAACACATGAGCTCTGCTTCGGCCCAGCGCGCTCGGCGGGGGGACCGCGGCCCCACGGGCAGGCGTGCACTGGGCGCTGGGGACGGTGCTGGGCACGGGCACGGGTCAGCCCCGCCCTCAGGCGGCCCCGGGTACGAACCGTGACACCAAGTGGAGCGGGAATCCCTGCAGCGGGAGGCACATGCGTCTCTATTCCTGCTGAGAAAGGAACCAACATCCCCCCCCCCCAGTTCAGTGGGGCCCGGTCCAGCCTTTCGGAAGCAGGCGCCCGAGTTTATGGAGAGGGAGGAACATGGGGCTTGTTGCCCCAGGAAACACCCGCCCCCAGGCAGGCCCGCCCACAGCCTCTGACCCTGCTCAGGTGGGCACCCGGCTCCCCTCCCCCCTGCCCGCCACCCCGGCCAGCTCCCCGTGGGAGGGACGGAGGGGGCCCCCAGGGGGTGTTCAGGGAGAGACTCGGCCTGGGTGGGTTTTTGGTCTGCAGTCACCCGCCTCCAGCCTGGTTCCAACTAGAGGGTCCCTTGGTGGCCCTGGGAGAGGGGTGGGGGGGGGAGCAAAGCTGAGTGGCAGAAAGCCAGCCGGGTGGCTGGGGCCAGGCCTGCCTGCTGGGCACTGGCCAGACAAGGGGGCCAGGCGGAGGCCCGGCCTGAGGCCCCCAGGGGCAGGTCCGCGGAGACCCTCCTCCCCGGGAGCAGGAAGGCCCGTCTGTCCCCAAGGGGCTCCTTCCGCCAGTTCCCTGAGCGACCAGGGAGTCTCTGACACCATCCGTCTCTGGCAGTGTCGACCTGAAGGAGCAGCCAGATGCCCTGGTCCTGGGAGGCCCCGCCGAGAGCCAGGGCGCTGAGCGAGCAATGCTGCCTAGGCCTGGACGGGACCCCAGGCTGCTGTCCCCAAACGCCCAAGTGTCTGGACCACACGGAGCTGTGCTCTGGAATCTCTCTCAGAAGACCTCACGCGGGACCGGGGCCCTCACCTTGGGAGCACCCATCTGCCCGCCACCCCGGCTCACCTCCACCTGCCAGGGCGGAAGCTTCCTCCCCAGGCCCCCGAGCCGGCCACTCTACAGGGCGCAACGGGCCGCCACTCAGCGCCCAGCCCGCAGCCAGCCGCTCCGGCTCTCCCAGGGGCTGCGGAAACCCCCAGGACAAAGCCACGGCCGGGTCCTCCGGCCCCACGGAGGACCTGTCTTCTGTCTTCTGACACCCAGGACGGGGGGACCTCGGTGACCCTGTGTCCCCGCGTGAGGAAGCGCACTGAGGAGGAAGCGGAGCTCGGGGGACACCGTCAGCAGGAGGGGGTGTCCTCCAGAGGGCCCCCTCGCCTGCACAGGGTCACATGTCCTGGGTCTGCAGAGACAAGAGTCCGCGCCCAGGGCCCAGATGCCACTCGAGAAGCGCACACGGATGTGCGGGGGCAGGTGCCCTCCAGCCACCTCCTCCCTGCTGTCCTGGCCTCGCCGGCCAACAGGGGAACCCTGGGAGAGCCTCGGCGTCCCTGCCAGGCTGGGCGGTACACGTGCCTCTGGTGGCCCCCGAACCCAAGAGGAGGCCTGCGGAGGCCACTCCAGCCCCAAGCCGCATGGGGAGGGGCGTGGCTGGGGGGACGGGGGCGGGGGGCCCAGGCTCCGAAGCCCCACCCCCAGCTGCGTGGCCACAGGTCCCGGGCGGGACCGTGAGGACAGCGGCAGCAGTGGAGCCCCGTCCTCCCTCTGAGGCGGACAAAGTGGGGAGACACCCTCACTCCCCTCGCAAAACCCCCGCTGACCGGGGCATGACACAGAGCGCTCGCCGCCCCTGCTCTTCGGGGGCCTGTGGCAGCTTCCCCTGGCCTCCGCCCCATCTGCCCCGGCAGCCTCGCGGGTCGGACGACAAGCACAGTTGTCCCACCGTACAGAGGAGGCAACCGAGGCACGGAGACACCCAGCCGCTGGTCCGAGGCACCCCCAGGAGAGCGGCCCCCCAGCTCGACCCTGCTCTAGGCCCTCCCAGAAAGGTCTGCTCGCCGACCCCAAATGATGGGCATGTGTGTGTGTATGTGAATTGGTGCACACACATACACGCGGGTGAGCGAGCACACATGTGTCTACAATTTGGTGTGTGTGTATACACAGTGTACACACATATGTATGCACATGGTTAGTGCACACATCTGTATATACGTGTTTTAGTGCACATGTGTGCACACAAGGGTTTGGTTCACACATGCACGTGTGTGTTAGTACATGTGTGTGTGGATTCACGCATGTGTGTGCACATGGGTTAATGCACGCACACACATATACATGGACTGCATACACACATGCGTAGGCCATGAACACCAGGAGAGGCTGCAGCTCCCAGAGCCCGGGGAGACCAGGTGACATCACATCGCTCCAGGTGGGGGCCTGGGGCGGGGGGCGGGCGCTGGCAGGTAAATCCGGGAGGAGCCCGGCACGCAGCGCCCGCAGCCAGCCCAGCCCGCGTCTGCATGCGTGGGGTCCGGGCGACACCAGCAAAGGGGCAGCCGGGGGAGGGGTGGACACCGCCCAAGGCGGGAGGCCAGGTGTCAGGAGAGGACCCCCCACCTGGGTTGTCGGATGTTCTTCTCAAGGCAGCACTGGGGTCACGGGGTTTGGGAAGAAGGCTGAGAAGACCGCACTGAAAGCTTTAGGACAATATGCGCCATTTCCGTTGACCAGAAATGACTTCAAACGGAAGAGTGTATTTCAAAATCTGCCCCCAACACGGTGCGTGAATGTAGCCAACTCTCAAAGTCTGAACACTGCTGAAGGCCTGACCACGGCCGACTCGCGCCCACAAGGCTCTGAGCGCCTGCTGGGTGCAGGGCAGCCAGCGACCCAGGGGCCTGAGGTCACAGGCTGTCGAGACTGTGAGCCAGGACGAAAGGGCCCCATGAGGGCCCTGGGCTCAGAAGACACGGAGGCTCCCGGCCGCACGTCTGGTGAGCAGGCCCGGGGGACACCAGGGGACCGTGGGGGCCCTCGCTGTGCTGCCGGCCTGGCCCCTGCTCGGTGACCGAGCCAGCCCACCGGCAGCCCAGGGCGGCATCCCCTGGTTTCTGAGAGAAAGGTGGCCCTCCGCCATGGGTGGGTGGGTCCCTGGCAACCAGAGGCCCCGCCCAAGCAGAGGGCAGGGGCAGAGTGCCCTCGAGGTGCCCGCAGTGAGCTCAGCCCTTGGCCCCAAGCAAGGAGGCTCCCTGAGCATCGGGTGAAGATGGACGATCGGCCCGGTTCCAAACGAGTCGCGCTAATGACTGTTGAGCACGTCCGTAACTTCACCCACAAAACTCAGCCCGCGAACCCCAGCGCGGCCGGGTCCTTGATTAATGCTAATGGCTTTTCTCACCAGCTGTGAAAATGCATTTTCCATAATTTAGCTGTCATGACAATGGGAAGGATTTATAAAACACACGCGCTCTGCGTGCCTGGCGGGCCTGGAGGGCGGCCGCCCGAGGAGGAGCCGGGAGCAGCCGGCCCTGCCCCCGCAGCGCGCAGGCGCGGCCCGCGGTCCCGCCTGGGCACCTGCGGCCAGCTCCCCGGCCGGGGCGCGGCGGCCTCCACGTCTGCTTCGGAGCGGGGCGCAGGGCCTCTCCCCGAGCCAGGGAGGAAAGGGGGCAGGGGCCCCCTGTCTGGGACCAGGATGCCCCCTCTCGGGGGAAGCAGGGAGGACACACCGCACTCCAGCCCCTGGCCCCAGGGGCCAAAGAAGCACCCGGGCCTAGCAGCGCCCACAGCCCTTTGAAGACGCCAGGTGAAGTCTCTCAACGGCAGAAGCGACCGTGGGAGGACCCACGCTCCAGCCACGGGCGCAACGGGCTGCAACCCCAGCAGCAACCCCAGCACGGTGGCCTCTGGCCAGGGACGGGAGCCCCAGGTGACAGGCGGCCCACCGACCACTGCCCCTCGGCTCTCCCCCCGCCTGCCGCCGGCACCCTCACCCCCGTTTCAGGCACCCCGACCCTGTGGAAAGGGCACGGGGGTGGGGTGCGCGGGGAGAGGCCGGCGCGCAGAGCCAGCATCGAATCAATTAACGCCAGCCCTTCCGAGAGTCTGCCGCGCACGCGTTGCCTCCAATTAGCGGGCCTGGCCGCGCGCAGGCCCGGAGCCACGGCCACGGAGACTCGCCTTCTTGTTTTAATCTTTACCGAGCCGGCCTTTCGCCTCCAGCCCGTCTAATTGAAACTAATCTTCGCGGGCAAGGCCTGTCTCTTCCCCCTAATCCTCCTCCGAGGAAGTTCACATGGTCCCAATTACCGCGCACCGGCCCTTTCCTCCCGCCCGCGTCTGCCTGTGCCAGCCTCCGCTCTGGAACGTCCGCGTTATTAACTCCATGCCTGTGAGTTCCTGCCCGTCACGGGCCGCGAGATGCTATCGCGGCCTGCGACGGATAGGGTTACCGCGAAAGCATTTTGGGGGCTGCGTTTCGCACAAAGGCGGCAGAGGGCATGATGGCGCGGAACCGGCGGGCCCCGTGAGCGCGGCCCAGGGGCTGGCCCTCGTCCCGGGCGCCGGCTGCGGCCGCTGGCCGGGGGTCCAGCGGGCTCTGGAAGCTTCTGAGAGGGGCAGGGAGGAAAGGAGGAGGGCAAGAGACCGCTCCCCCCGGAGAGCCCCTGTGCCACGTCGGGGGCTGCCAAGTGGGAGCGAGGGTCCCCGGCCCCGGCCCCACGTCACCACAGGCCCCTCGGAAATCTCGCGTCTCCAGGCCGCGGAGAGTGTCCCGTTTCCGAGCTCCAGGCTGCGGTCCCACCGCCGCCGCGTGAGCGTGCGGGCCAGGCCTCCGTGTGGCCGCTGGCGGTGTCTCTGACTCGTTTTTCAAACAGAGAAACTGAAATGATTCTTATTTAATAAAGGCAGTTGTTGTTTTCCAAGTCCCCGCACCCAGAGCAGGGGGAGGAAACGGTGAAACGGGCTGAGCGGCTGGCGGCCGGGAGGGCCCTCCCGCGCGGACCCACGAGGCCTGGCTGGGCCACAGGCACCGAGGCCGCGAGCGGCATCCCGGTGTCCTGTCCACCGGCGGTCCTGGCGAGGGCCCGCCGTGCTGGCCTCGCTGGATGGCCTGTTTATGGAGTCAGAGGCTGAAAGCTGGGGGTGCATAAATCCCTCCTCCGCCTCCATCCCATTGTGCACACCCGCCGGCAGGCTCAGTTTGTCTAGAACAATCCACGGATCGGGAAGGAAATTCCCACAGGAAAGTCCCAGCCAAGTCCCCGATGAGTGGGACCGTCTGGGCACCTCTCCTGGAACCCTCTTTCCACCCCTGGGGCCGGCCACGGAGACCTGGGTCACAGGCTGCGGTGGCTGCTGCCCCAGCTCTGGCTTCCTGGCTGGGCTGTGGAGCCGTGGCCAGGAGGAGCCCGGGCGCCGGCACGCCGGCTCAACACCCGCCGCGCTCTGCCTGGGCCCCCGCCGCGCTCCCCGCCGGGCTTGGCCCCCAGGCCGGTGAGCCGGCCCCCCCAGAGCGCGCCTCCGGCCCCCTCCCGCAGCCTCTCCTCCGCCACCACAGTCTGCGGTCGCCGCTGTGAGCGGGGCTTTCTCCCCTGGGCTCAGAGCCGCTCCTCCCAACCCCTCACGGAAAGGCGAGGACTACGTCCAAGGACGTCCAGCGCGACACTGCCAGATGCTGGGTCCAAGTAGGACGTACGTGGTCCCCCAGAGAAGATCCCCCCACTTCCCGTTCTGCAGCTTCTGGGCTCAGCCTCACTCCTGTCTCCTCGGGCAGTGCCCTCCCAGCCCCCGGGAGCCCTTCCTGGCCAGAGGCCACGGGGTCCCCCCACCCCACGCGTGCGAGTCCCAGCTCCCCTAGCACAGAGCTGACGCCGCACCGACCCGAACTGGTGCCTCCTGGGCTGGAGGGGCAGGGGGAGGCCAAATGGCGTGGAGCAAGAAGCCGCAGAGGCCTCTTCAAAAGCACAGCAGGGAAACCGCGGACATAAAATAAAACGTCAGGGCAGCTCGGATCTATCTAAGAGACGCGGCGCCAGGCGCTGACGAGGGTGTGGAGCGCCCGGGGTCCTGTGTGTGTGGTGCCCCACCGGGGATGGTCTGACGGTGCCTGTTCAGTTAAACCTAAACTTAGCAGAGGACCCAGCCACTCCGGCCCTAGCTCCTTACTCCAGAAATGCAAACACGTGGCCAACCAGAGACCGGCACGTGAGTGTTCAAACACCCAGACACCCTGAGCCCCTCCCTGCAGTGGGCACGA